TGTATGAGTGTTTCACTGAACGTTGCTAAACTTCCATTTATTTATCAAAAGTTTTGGAATGCTTCATGCTTCTATTTGTTTTGTCTGCAATACTGGTTTGAGTTTGACTTACAGACGGCAACACAATGCTCTGTAAAAAAAAGGTTTACATGGTGCAGAGGTGAAATAAAAAACACACTGTTTCCCAGACACATCTCTAGTTATAATTAAGATAGCACAACCACCATAAAAAAGTAATATAACAAAATCTGATAAAAATGCTAAATAATTAACTGTTTGAAGCTGCTTGTTGATGCAAAATTAATGATAAACATTCATATTTAAGAGGCAGGCAGTGGAAGGGATAAGCCAATTTTTTTTGTCTTTTTTAAGAAAGCACTGTGGTTTTTCAGAAGCTCCTTTTTTGGCTGCAACACAGAAATGGGATTTTAATTTGTGTTATTTTCGCTTTATACCTAAATATTAATATTGCAATCATATACATTTTTTAATGAAAAGTATTGATAAACCAAATCCTTATTACCCCACAAAATTAGGGACAATTATTTCTATTAGCTTCACCAAGTCTGGAATCCTTGACATGAGCTCTTTCCGCATTATTATGATTTGGTCTGCAACTAATGTGACCCAGACAAAAGCATGAGACAGCCTCAGTGAATCCAGGTCAGGGGTTAAAGAATAGTTTGCCAGAGTTTACCTACGTATTTCCTGTAACATTAGCTGAACATGAGTTGGCTGAGCTGAGAAAACATTGAAATACATACAAAAACACAGACAACAGACGCACATATTTGCAAGTGATCTTCGACCGAGACAGCCAACTTCCACCACACCAAGCTGAAAAAACAGTGGTGGGAGGACATGAAGTTCATCCGAGTGAGCCTAGATTTCCTTTTAAAGATTTAAGGCACACAAACATCCATCAGATGTGGCGTGTCAGTAAGTGTGTGTGTGTGTGTGTGTGTGTGTGTGTGTGTGTGTGTGTGTGTAGTGATGAGGTGTAGACAGCTAGAGTGTTTCATGGTCAGCAATGCGTGGATCAGGGAGGTGAGTGTCACAGCCTAGATGAACCTAGAGCAGAATAGAGCCCATGGCATGGCAGCACATGTGTCAACACATTTTCTTTAATAAAAGCCACTCCTTTGTGTCTCTGCTGTGATGTGCCAGATTGCTAAGTACATTTGCAGATATACTGGCTGTAGAAAAAGAGAAGAGCAAAGTCACCTCGCAGTACATCACACGCACAAAAAAAAAAGTAATTCCTAAAAATTGGATAAGTTTTGCAGCTACCACTTTTAATTTTTCTGAACAAGATCAGTAAGTTTAGATGAAATCCTAACTAGAAAATATTCAGAAATGCGAACCACTGTAAAATAACAAAGGGACATACCAACTTATATATGTTGTGACAGGTGAAAACAGAAGGAAGTCCCTTTCTGCAGTCCATTATGGTTAATTGCAGTTTTAAGCGATATTGCTTGTAGGAGAGCAGGGACGGTAATTAAAGTACAGGTAAGACATTAACTTACTTTTGTTAGCCATTAATCAGTGTTTACATTCAGAGAGCTCTCCCTTTGTAATTAATAATCAGCTTGGACAATGAATAATCACCTAAGAGGAAGCGATTTGTAGGTGTGTCTGTGCGTGTGTGTGTGTGTGTGTGTGTGTTATTAGCAAAGGGGCTTTCCCACCTTTGAAAGTGCAGACTCTGTGATCAAACAACCCATCAAAAAAGATCATAAACCAAAACATTCTCACTGCTGTTCACAGCACAATGCCTTCTTCATTCTGTAATTATCTAAAACAATGAATAAATTTCAAAGCGTTAGTAATATAAAAATATTGCTTTGCTACTTTCTTCAGACCAAACACATTTTACTAACATTTTTAACTGTATTTAATATAATTTGTCTTATTTGGACCATAATGCACTTTAAGCTGAATCAAATTAAACTGATTTGTCCTGGAACTGGATTAGATTCAGCTGATCAATCCAGCTTACCTTAATTTGCTTACCTTTTTGCATGAAGTATACTGAGATGACGTTAACTGGGGATTTGTATGATGCAAATAAATTGAACCGAAACCAAAATAAAAAAAAAAAAATACAGCGTAATTTTGCTGTCATTATCTAAATAAACACACACTGGGATGATTTAAAACACTGCATTATGTTTAAAATTGTCATTGTAATATCATTGCTGAATATTGGCACTATCATCCGGGTCAGCTGTGAGCATCTGCAGCAGCCTTACTCCTTCCAGCACCATGAAGATACAGTAATATTAACCATGCAAAGTGTGAAATTAGGGCACTTGGAAATGATAGTTAACAATGATTACTGAAAACTCTTTATGATGTTAATATTGTGCAGGTCAAACACACAGCTGAACTTCATACTTGAAAGTCAGATTTTCTAAGTTCCTTGAAAGAAATACAAGACAGTCATAAGAAGCCAGATTTCTGACTGGGAAATATGAGAGAGGTAGACAGACACTTCTTATTCTTCTCTTCCAGGAAGAGAAGAATAAGAAGAGAAAAAAAACTAATGCCCACACTGCAAATAAAGCAAAAGGACGACTGATCCTTTATCCCATTTCTCCATGATGCTGCATGACCAATAGAAGTTGAATACTTTGCTAGCCCACAGACATTTTAGCGCGGGTCTGTCTGAACATATGCCATTCTCCACACCAGCCCCAGACTTGCCTCAGGCCCAGCTCTGCCTGGCTACACACAAGAGCAGTAGTTCACATTGTGATGTGAGCCCCTGGATATGTGTGCACGCATGTTGGGCATGACAGCAAGGATTCACTGGCTTATTTTCTGTTACTGAGAGGCTTTATCTTTAGCCCCAATTACCAACACTTACACATACACACAGGCAAACACCATGGCAACCGAGACAACAGCAGCCATGGTGGCATTTGGCTTGACTGAAATTCTGCTCCACGATGCCCTGACAGCCTTCCCTCAACCCTCTCTCAACCTTGTCACCTCTGTTGCTCTGCTGTAACTCTCACCACAATGGCTGCTGCCTGTGAACCTGCCAGGCTGCCAAGGACACAAAGATGACTGAGGCAACCTTTGACATCAGAAGCTGCCACCAAAAGACCAGAGACAAGCTGAGTTGGCAGCTCTCTTAGCAAGCTAGAGACCCAGATCTTTTCAGCCCAGTTAAAGTAGCAGGAGTCAACATAGCACAAGTCAATAGTGCACACATACCAAAACGATAATGTGTCAAACAGCTCTGTGTTTGGACAATGTTAGGCACGGCAAAAGTTTTAAAATTGGTGACCTCGGTACTTTGGCTGTACCGCAGCTGTCATTTGACTGACGGCAGTCGCTGAGAAGAGGCCGAATTGGGAGAGTGAAAGAAAATGACATTTGAACATGAAATAAAGCAGTGATTTTGTTCTGAGAGCTAGGTGACATTTCAAGGAGCTGATTCACTGGTAGATGTTCAGGCCAACCACCCACACTGCTTCATGTGGAACAAGCCTTTTTCAGTTAAAGAGACGAGATAGCAATGTTAAGAGATGTACTCGCAGACATGGGGGGCATGTGTAAGATGACCTATACATTCACTATGATGTCAGTGAGCAGCTTTGAAGGGAATAAAATCACAAGGTATGAACCTCCGAAGCGGCAATGGAAATGAGAGAGTGAGAGAGGAGCGCACAGTCCCCTGCAAAAGTATTCATACCCTTTAGACCTTTTCACATTTTGCTTGGTTACACCCATAAATTTCAATGCATTTCAATGCAGTTTATTGAGGGTTTACATGACACAAAGTGGACTGGGTTTTAAGAAGTTTTTACATATTAAGTTCTGAAAAAATGTGCCTCACTCTTATAGTACAAATGTTTAGTTGAATTACAGTTGCAGTCTTTTCAAATGGGTCACTTTTTACATTCAAAGACAGAAATTGTTACCCATCCTACTTTGGAGGAAAGGGTACTTCTGATCTAAACTATTTTATTACAGGCTTGTCAGTTTAAGTGGACAACCACATACAGGTCTAAAGAGGCTGGATGGAAATTAACTAGGCACGTTCAGATTTCTATTTTTCTGCTATGAACATGCTTCTGTCCACTTTCCAAACATTAAATTGTTTGTGCAGATCCATTACCTGAAATCCACCCAAATCCATTGAATTTTGTGGTTGTTATGTGACAAAATGTGAGGCAAGATATTCCAAGTTTCCCAGGTATCTGTTGGTAGGTACATATTAAACAAGTGGTGACTCAATACATTATTTAAAAAGTGCCTTGAAATACATCACATATATACTCTTTCCTATTTAAAGACTGAGTCTTCTCTTTGTTTGTCAGTGTGTGCATATCTAAATGTGTGTCACTCTTCAAACAACATCACAATCATCATCTCTTATCAACAGTCATGTTGAGGATTACAGCTTTCATCCCTAATCCTACATTAAGGACACATTCTCATGATGGACATGACATCATCGAGGCCAGTGAACAGCAGTGAGGGCACAGGGACAGGAGGCCAAACACTGCAGGAGAGGATTAATGAATACAGGAGGCAGAGTGGATGATGAAAAAGATGGGACAAAGTAGTCGGAAATAGAACTGAACTTGAACTGACAGTTTATGTAAGAAAATCTTTGTTTTATGTAAAAATTAGTGCTCTTGAGTCTGATTGACAATGATCGCTCTCCATCAGTGCTCAGGTGGCTGTATGCAGATTGATTTACCCAACACACACAAACACACGTGCAAATAAAAAAAAAGGACTAATAGTAAACGCACAAGGAGCATTTACACTACTTCTATTGTCATTACTATCAAAAATGATTATACATTTATTATATCCATCTCAACAATTAATGGAAAGGCTGCACCATTTGACAATATTCAAACTTTAAAGTATTAAGTTCTTTACTCAACCCAATAACGCCAACACTACTGCAGAGTTCAGGCTTTGAAAGATGCGACCGTTGAGGAGTGTGTAGGTACAGAATACCAGAGTATTACCTGCAGAAACTCTAGGGCAGTCTGGCAACATGGGCTCAAGCTGTGTGTCCAGTGGCTCGGGACTCGATACCCAGTTACAACAGCACTGTAGGAAACAAAACCAAGGAAACAAATATGTCAAAACACATATCACAACTTTTACTCTTGAGTATATTATTATTATTATTATTATTATTATGAAAAAAAGGACAGTGGACAACTACAGTTTCCTAAAGACTCAACATACAAATAAACACAAACTGCAATCAATATCTACTTAAATCAGGAAGAGTAAAAGAAACAATGTTAATACTAAAACAGTGAAGAAAAGCTCTGTAATGTTGACCATGTAAAAGAAACAACAGAAGGCACAGCAGAAGAGAAAAAGGAACAGGTGGGCAAAAAAAAGCGTGCAAAAGAAGGGAGTATGAACGGTGGGGGAAGAGGAGACAAAGACAAGAACAAGCAATTAAAAGCTCTGTGATATGCTGCTAAGACAGCCTGGCGTTTGTTTGGAGTGGAGAGCTGAGGCCTTCTACCATGGCTGATCACTGGGCGCCCTGGGGGGAGAGGGTGTCTGCCCCGCTTGCTGACCCATAACCCCCTGAAAACACCCCAACTCTTCTCAAACCCCTTGTGGTTGACAACTCCACTGTCAGAAAGGGAGGAAGACCTCTTTATCTGCTGCTGCTGTCTTCATCCATCTTGTGTATCGCTCCTAGTTTATATGTGCCGCCTCACACTGGGGTGTTTCACACATACAAAGTTTGAATCTGATGCTCTTTCAGTAAAATGTATCAATCCCTGAGAACAGAGAGCTTTACCTTTTGCTCCAGTTTTGAGTTTTCATTGACTGGGTCAGTGGATGACAACACATCAAACTGTGTTTGTCTCTTTTGACTCTGCAGTGTGGACTGGCATGCTCTGGTTCATAGGGTTAGAACAAAAACAAGGGAATAGGGGAAACGAGACAGGGAGGCTGAGAAGGAATGCTTAGAGAAGACGCTCCCCTAGATAAGATAAAAGTTCAACAGAAGAAAGAAAAAATGTAAAGAGATTAGAATGTGCAGCTGGCGTCCTTCTGATTCACTGCTTATCTGCCCTTGTTTACTTTCACCCTGGCCCCCTGACAGCCATTACTGCGTAGTGCATGCTTGTGTGTGCGTAAAGGTTTCTGTGTGTGGGTCAGTGACTTCATTTCGGGGGAGGGTCTCCCACAAAGATGCGTTGTGATCCCTTCAAACTCAAATACACAGGAAAAAAAGGCACACGTGCTTCTGAATTCTCCTACTAACCCGCAGACGTCCAAGGTGATTGACAAGTCGGACAAATATGCAACACTTCTCATGTTATAACCTCTAACAGACACCGTGGTATGTGAAAAGTCAATACGTACAAATCAAATGAAAACAAATCCAAAGCCATATTACTTCAAAAGCATGCTGAAGATTAGAAAATATTTACGGGGAGATAGTGGATCCCATAATACAAGTTTTGCTTTGAAGAGTAGTTTCATCAGCCCAAGGTTTACAAAACTCAGGATTTCAAAACAAGTGAAACACTTGTGAAAAGTATCAGACTCAAGAAAGAAATTAAAGTCAGTCAATGGTGTCCTTCTTAGACAAAAATGTCCAATTAAAATAAGAACAAACAGAGCAGCATGTGTAGAAAGTGAACCCCAGAATCTCGTCACTGCAAGCGCAGGCAAAACTGCTGCTGCTCGTGCCAAAGCTGCACATGCAAGATCTTGTAGGAATCGTCACAACTTTATTGCACCAGGAAAAGTCAATTTCTCAAACAAACACATGTATATAAATGTGTTGTACAGGCAGAACAATAAAAATGGCGTTCTTACAGTAGCATGGTAAATGCAGAGCAAGAGCAAGTTTCATTATTTCAGAGTTTGTGAAGTGTAGTTATGCTCAGTCATGGTTTATGTTTTCTGAGTTATAAAAGGGTTAGCTTCTTCACATTAATTCATCTTTGAGTCCTGTACCACATCAAAGAGTTTGGAGATAATATCACACATTCGGTCTGAAAGTATAAGAACAAACATTCAGAGCCAGAATGAAGTTATTAAATTACAGTGTTACTGAAAAAGAAGGAACTGACCACAACAAAGTAAAAGTTTATTTATGACTTTTACTTATTTCACATTTTTGACATGTTTTCAATGATTAACTGAGAAAGTATAAAGGCATCAGTTATGCTGTGTGCTTGCCTACATGTGTTTGCTATGTTTTAAAATAAAAATATTACAGATAAAGTGACCCCTGAATTATTTCTGTAACTTCTGCACCAGGTAAAACTTTAGTCTTTTGCCATCAACAGCTTGATTAATCTGTTCTACAAGAATTACTTGGTTTACTTTTCATTGAATTAAAATGATTGTGGAACTTTTTTAATTTAAAAAAAAATGGAAAGGAGGTATCAAAAAAATGCCCTCTTGAATCGAGTCCATCATGTTTCATTCATTCCTTTAGTCACATAAATCAAACACAACTGTATTTGGAGAGGATATAGAAAAAGTGAAGCCACAGAGGTTGAAGAAAGATCAGTGAAGAGATGAGAGGGGAAACAGGGGAGGCAGCTGGGGGCTTTAGTGCTGGGGGAAGATGAAAAGTCATCTTGGTAAACAGTGGCATATTGTGTATTTTTAGATCTTTTGCTTTGCCCTAGATGTGCTCTCCTCTGAGTCTGAGTTTGAGGGCAGAGCTGTGTGGAGCAGCACAGAAGCAGTGGGGCTCCTTGACTGCTACATCAAGTGTCTCATTGTATCTTCTTTAATTCATTCAGTTTGTCTGGAGGAAGATGTCAGCTGGGCTGTGGAGCAGTGGGCTGAAGGCGACTGGAGAGGGAGAGAAGGAGGGGAGTCTTTCAAAGGGCCCTCCTCCATCCCTTACAACTCCGCTATCACCACCAATGGAGACATGGAGGTTTGGCTCTGAATAGATTTGTCAAGGCAACACACACATGTGCATACAAACTCTTGCATAAATAGACACACACATACATGCACAAACGCACACAGACACACGGAGCACAAAGCCCCAGAGCTGTGGGAGACCACAGGCATAACAGCCTTCACATAAAGGCAAGGCCTGCTGGCTGGGATTAGAGAAGGGTGACATGACAATCGGATGGCACATCTCATCGGCTGCCTCTGATGCATGGCATCATCACTTCAAGCTGCTCGTCTACCGTTCAAGTCCTTGCATTCAACTAATCAACAAAACAGAAACAAATAGGTAGATAGATTCGGCTTTTCCCACAATTATGTAGCTCTGTGTATGTTTCTCTCTATGTTTTATATAGTTCCATGATTTCCACAGTGTTTTAAATGTGGACAGAATCGCAACATTAGATGAAACTCCCCCCCACCCGCTCCCAAACTCACGGAGAAATGAATTTATTGTACACATTTAAGCGTGGGTTATTAAAGTTTACCAAGGTTTTGAAAAGTTTACAGTTCAAAACCGCTAAGTAGTCCCATCATACATTTCCTAAGGTTAAGCAATCATTACAATCACAAGCCTGAGAAAGATGGTGAGCTCTCTGTTGTCTCTTTCGCGACCTGTTGCTGCACACTGATGTTTAGGTGTCTGAAGGATGGCTAGCACACTCATTCTTTGTTTTCTACAATGACATCGCTTTTGGAAAAAAAAAAAAAGAAAAAAAAAAGAAAATAAGGCTTCTAAATTAAAGTAGCAGTATTAATTTTTGAAAACCTATAATATTAAATGCAATGAGCACTTTAAATCTAAAACATTCAGCTCATTGTTACTTTTTTCAATATCTATGCATTTTTAAATTATATTCAAAATAAATTAGTATGCATAAATCACTCATAATTCGTATTATGAGTGATTTTGAAAAATTGTTGCTTAGAATAGAAGCAGTTTGACCTTATGGATATTTGTGGTATTTTTTATGCAATTTTTTATGTAATTACTGTGTAACTCAATTTGATTATTGTGAAAGAATCTCATTCCAAGCCAGATCTTCTTCCAAAATAAATAGGAGACAATCAAAATACTCTGTTTCTTAACCATTTTTTATTGTTTCAATGATATTACTAAAATGTATGTTTAATTTTGCACCAAAAATGTTTCTGGTCCATTCATTGGTTGGCTCCCACTTTAAATGTGACTTGTTCTACAATAAGACTAAAACTTAGATAACTCTTTTTTTTTTTTGTTTTTTTTTTGTTTTTGCAAAAACAGTTTTTCTTTCCCTCCTTTTCAAAATGTGGAAGCAGTGGCTCCATTTTCTCCACTAACCATGCATCCGTTTACAAAACAAACTCTGCATGGCACTTCATCTTATTCCAGACTATTTTAAGTCTCGTAACACCAAGATTTTGGCTTAAACATTTAGATCGAGATAAATCCGTTCCTGTTCAACTAACAGGAACAGGAACAACTTTGAGTTCTGGCAAAAAGTTTACACACAGATTGTATCTGTGTGTGAGATCCAGTTCCTGCTTCAGGATACATTTTATACTGCAAGGCATGCTGTTTCTTTTACATTACCAACAAAAACACATGCAAACAGGGTTGCCACCAACCACTGAAGTTGGTGTGACTTCCTATATCATCTGAGAAACATCTCTCACTTAAAGCCTTTCCTCATTGGAACATAGCCACGATGAAAAGCTCAAGATCAAACTAATCACTCGACAGCAGGTAAAATAAATAAAATGTTATCGATAATGATCTCTTAAAACCAACATATGAACGCAAACACTAACAGACACATACATGCAGTTTGTTGAATCCCATTAATTTCTTTTCAATTACACACAATCTATTCAACTGAGTTCCAAGAATGGCATTTTAACGCTGTCATTCTGAGAGCAAACAGGAAGAAAAACAGTGGCTCAGTGCCCAAACGTCTCCTAAACTGCAGCACACGACAGTTTTCGAGCAACTACTCAGGAGAAGTTCTTGGTCACTTTCTCTCTCTCCCATCTCCTCCAGAAGGTATATAATCTCTGTGGATTAGGATTAGGATGCTTTATTCTCTTGTTTGTGCGCAAGTGCATATATATATATATATATATATATATATATATATATATATATATATATATATTTGTGTGTATGTCTGTGTGCTCTGGGCAGGCCACTAGAGTGTGACAGCAGGCCAGCACAGTGACAGGAGACACCTTGGAGACTGTGACAGGCTGCCAGCTGTACACCATCATTCGGATTTCTCTCTCACACTCAATTCTTCTCTCTCCGCTATTCATCTATCTCCACATACATCAGTTTATTCCCTCTCCTCCATCTGTATTCACTCCATTCAGATTGTACCTGTCTTTTTGTTTTTCCCTTTTCCACAGCTCTACAATTTCTCAGTGGCAGTCAATGGGATTTAAATAATTGAACACTTCTCACTATTTTTTTTTTGTCTTTTCCTGTCAGTCAATGGAGAAATGTTTCTCTCGCTGCCATTTCTTCTTTTGTTTCAGCTTCACTCTGTATTTTATGCCGTTGCTGTGACGTCAGGTGCCCCTCGTCTGACCCATATGGTCTTTGTAACCTGGCTCAGCAGGCACTGATCTCTAAATCCCATCTTCTGTCTTCTACTCTTCTGATCGCTCCATCCCGCCATCCAACGACCTCTTGAACCCCCAGGGGAGGGAATTATCTCTGTCTGACGAGAACAGAGAAGAACCTGGCTGGTGTGCCCCGACCTCACATCCACCTACTCATATGGGCACCCATATCTATACACCACCTAGAGTGCCACTCCGATTCAATGCTAATGCTTCTCTTGGATGTGTCGTGGCATGAAAGCCATCCTCCCTGTGTGTGATTCTGTCCATGTGTCTTACAAAGTACTGCTTATATGTGGGATCCAGCTATGGACAAGCTGCTGATACCGCTGTTCTTTTTGGTTTATTTGTCTAGGATTTGCACAAGAAGTCCACAGAGTGTGACGGTAAATAATCACAAACATCAGCATTCAGAGTATCCAAAGAACCCATCAGTCCACGATCAAAGACCAAGGAGCCTTTGATACAACCACTGCCTCATATTAGACCTAGGAGGATTCCTACATCATAAACTGTGCCCTCTAAAGTAGAAATGTCATTTATATTTCAATTTTATATCCAGTCACAAGAAAACACACACAGAGAAAAAAATAAGACAAAAAGGAACCAAATAATTTCAAAAGCTAACTTGAGGCCACCTGCAGGGCAGTGAAGAAGTATTAGACCCACATACTTGTATTTTCAGTTTTGTTGTTTGGTCACCCTTAAATGTTTCAGATCAAATAGATATATTAAAGAAAAATTACCTGTGTAAAAAATAATTTGAAAAATAGGTTTTCAAATTATGCCTAATGTGTCCCATGTTTAATTATTAAATAACTGCGTCATGAATAATTTTTGCTTCAGTTTCACTTTATGTTCTCAGGCCTGATTACTGCAGTAGAATCAAAAAGTCTCCCATGCAGGCTTACAGATCTCAAAAAGCCACACATCATTGCCCGAAATGAAGAGAAAACAAATATATGGCCTCTATCAGTCTGAAAAGTAGTGCTATTTCTTAGGTTTCAGGACTCCAGCGAACCACAGAGAGAGACAGACATTATTCACAAAATGAGAAAATGCAAAGCTGAGGTAAACCATATAAAATGTGGCCGACTGTAAGCTACAACAACTAATCCAGGAGTTCACAAACAAACCCAGAACAACATCAAAAGCACTGAAGGCCTCACTCACCCGAGTTATGATTTAATAACAAACAAAAGGGGAAAAAAAGCCACTATCCAGATACCTGAATTTTTTTTATCAACTATTCAAACAATTATATCCAAGCATTAACACCATGAGAATGTTCATTGATTGTACATACATAATGACCATTGTTACAGTTCTATGAAAAATGGGTAAGCTGCCATGCCTGATCACTAGGAAGTACAAGGCTGGTAGCATCATGTAGTGGGAGTGTTTTGGTGCAATTGACACATGGCATTATGAGGAAAGAACATTATGTGGGAATATTCAGGAAACTTCTTAAGATGTCAGCCAGGAACTTAAAGCTTGGGTGTAAAGAAACTTCTACTTGAAAAATAATTTGACGGAGAACGTTAGAATATTTAAAAAGTGGCGAGAAAGATCGGATTTCAGCATTGAGACTCATTTAATATCAGAAAGAAAAAAAATATTTATTTTTGTATAGAATACAGAAATATCTGCTTTCTACTATAAATACCTGAATATATATCATTGGCCTTTTAATAAAATAACTGATAGTACCGCTAAGATGATAATCCCAAGCTCCTAAAAAATCTTTGGACTCCAGAGGAACAAAATTTGGTCTCCATGTTAACAAAAATGTTCCTTCGCTTATAATATATCCTGTTAGGTTTTGGATCCCATCAAGATCTAAAATCAAGCAACCATAGCTCCGTCAAACACAGGTGGACAAAGCTGGATATGAAATAGTGGAAACAAAAGGCCATGGATATAAAAAGAGAATGTAATACAAAAGCAGGTATGGGGTTAGAGTGTGTGTGTGTGTACGTGTGTGTGTGACAGAGAGAACACATGACATTTGCATCTCCAGCAGCTTTGGTCTTGGCTATTCCTCATCTGTATGTGCATATTGAGTGAGCCCAGGTGATGCATATGGCACAGAGGTCACACCAGAAAGGGCAAATTCTCATATGAAGCCACAAAAAAATGCATGCATGCGCGTGCATTCCATCCTGTACGCTTATCACATGGCCACATCTAAAACAAATCCATGTAAAGCTGTACACACAGACATGTTATCAGTTATTCATTGAGATGCTCCTAAGGCGGAAGTGGAAACTGGTTATATTTTTTAAAAAAAGGGGGAAGAGATAACACTCCAGTAATAATTGTCCAGGACTTCAAAGGTTTTACTTTAGTGAAGGAGTGTTTTACGTGGCTTGCCATTTAAAGGTTAGGGAAAAGGTGTCATGAATTGTCACATGCACTTTGCATAGTCTTAATTTTCTCATTAGATTTTCCATGTAGCTGTATATCTGAGAATGTATTTATTTGTATTACCTGCTGCATCCAGTCCTGTGTCCCTTTGGAGGTCTCCTGGTGCCAAATGTTATGTGCAGAGTCAGTGAGAGCCACAGCACACACTCTGTTCTTCACCTGCATTTCCCTTTGATTCATCTGCAAAATAAAAGTAAATTCACCTTGTTAGCCTGGATTTAAGCTTACTCATCGCCCATAATGGTATACAGGACACTGCTGTTTAACACATCAACGACAGACAGCTCAGATTATACTTTATTTAAAAAAAAAAACAATATACTCTATAGAAACTGAAAAGGCTACAAAAAAGTAATCTTCAGAAAAATAAGGATATGAATACAAATATCTGAATACGCCTTTTCACTGTGGACTCCCAGTAGACCATGCACAGTCAGCCCACTTCTTAAACCACAATGGCTTTTAAGCCAGAGAATACAGATTCAACCTGGTGTATAGCATAATGTTATAGAGGGAAATATGAAAGAACACAGCTCCACTGTAGCATGTCCTTGGCACGTTCTGTGCAAATGTCCTTTCCCTGTGCACATTAAATAACCTGGTCCCCAGTCTTAATACCCTTTACCTTCAGATGTCACAAAAGAAAGTGCCGTTCACAAGCCCGTCTTCCTATTCCCTTCTGAATGTCAACACTAAGGAAAATGTCACACAAAGGACTTGTTACCACACTACAATAGTCTTCCCACACCACTGCTCCGACCCTAAGGAGTACTGCAGCCAGGTCTAGGGAACAAGCTTTTTCACTTTACCTGGTTTTAAGATAAAATTGTAAGAAAGGGGAACATGATTTGCAACAATAGGATAGCAATCACTTACTGTATATTCTTAGAAACACCGAGACTGAAACTGCACTTTGAGAATAGGATCAGAGTCCACAGAAAGACTGGTCAACAACCAAACATAATAAAGGGTTATTGTTAATGTCATTTTAAAAAAAGGGGGAAAAATAATGTCAAATGGACTTATGTTGGCATTCACTGCTTGGATAAATGGGTAGGAGAGGCCACCGAGAACCAGATGGCAACCACTCGTCAAGATTTTGACAGCGCGGTGCGTCATTAGACAAACATTTATTGCTTACCATTAACACTTGTAAGCCACAAAGAGCACAGAGATCACTGGACTTCGGTGGTTTATTTTTAGAAAGCTGAAATATTTCAAAATAGGACCCTGCCCAAAATAAAGTTATTTCGTGCAAGTCACATTTTTGTCAGTATGTTTTGCCCTTAAGATTAAGACTGAACAAGTATTTGGAGTACCTGACGTAACTCTGTTGTATTCCTTTGCCGTTTTTTGCTTTCTTTTTTTGTAAAGCTATGAGTTTTGATGTTATTCTATAAAAAGTAATTAGGGATATAACTAAGTTCTTCCAGTCTATGTTCACATATTGTGGCATTTATGCTGGTTCTAATGCCAAAAAGCCCTTTCAATTCTGGCAGCAGATCAGGCACCAACTCTACAAAACTAAAGATTATGTTAATTATATATTGTAAACCAATGGTTTCAAAAAGTGTGCTAAGGTTAAATAATTATCTTTCACATCTGGGTCTCAAAATAATAAGCGAGGCATTACTTGCCAGACAAAGTCGCATTCTTGCATCAACTGGATAGCAACTGACAGGTTAGACTTTAACGTGAGATATATAGTCACAATTTAATATTGTGAAATCAAGTGCAAGATGCAGTTGACCCACTGCTGTTAAATGTCTGAATTGCACAAGTTTTACTGTAACTATTTTAAATGCCTCAACAAATTAAAACAGGAGTGTACAGACATAATTTTAACTCATCAATGCAGATCATCCGACTGACGAGCCTTGAATCAGTAAATTTCATTGAAAAGAACCTAGCAAGGTCAGCAGGTAGGTGCAAAAAAGGATGAATATGACAATGAATAGCTGTAATCAAAATGAAAACCTTGCCAGAAACATGTACCTGGTAACACAAAGAGCTTAAATCTTATTCTCCCGACCAATGTGTGGTTGTAAGCATTTTCTCTGTCAAGACTTGTCCTATGAGTGGAGTCATTTAAAAGCTCCTCTCAAAACCTTGTGTCAGCCAAGGTTTTGCTTCATGATGGCTCACTGTTGACTGAACATCTACATAACTGAGGTCAGAAAGCAGGAGAAAGTGAAGTTGTTGCAAGTTAAAAACACATTCACAATTTTCTCTCGTCTCAAAATGGCTAGTTCAAACTATTAACGTAAGAATTTTCAGCATACTTCGGATGTATACTGAAAGAGAATGGGTTTACTTTGCATAATTGAGGATACTGTACTGTTTATTAAGTAGGGTCAATTCAAATATATGCATGACTGAATGGAAATTATTTTTTGCAAAGTGCCTTGAGATGACATTTGTCAATTGGTGCTATACAAATAAATTGAAGTGAATGTTTTATTAGACTTCCTGTGGTTGGAAGCACAAAGTAAACTAAAGTAAACTTGTGTCATGTATTTAACAAAGCCAGCCAGCCTTGAAAGACATCTATCTATCTATATATATATATAATATATCTATCTCTGACTAGATTCCAACATTGAGAACTTGTTAGGCAATGGTAGCAATGCAGCCGTTACGGGCAATAGTTAGTCCATTTTTTTTTTTTTTTTATATAATGCATGATTTACATAACACTACTACTGGTGTATTTATGGGTACTGAAACCTTCTTCTTTACATGAGAGAAATGACAAATAACATAAAAAAAACTGATTTGATTTGTGAAACCTTTGCTAAAAACAACACTTACCCTTTGAGGGCCTACAAGTGAACCACAATCAGATGGAATCAGGAGGTTTGCAGAAACTTACACTTCTAAAGTAAAGAATGTATGAACAATGACTGGCTGGTAGGATACCCATTAATCCAGTCTTTTTCTGCTGTTTGCTGTTTTCTCCATTTGTGAATGATGGGTTCCATGTGCTTAGCTGGAGTCCTAAAAACTTAAAAAGGGCTTTGTAACTCTTTCCAGACTGATTGAGGCCAGTGGTCTCGTTTCCATTCTGTCCTTGAATTCTTTGGATCTTTTTTTTTTTCGACTCCCCAAGTGACAAAATCTGTAGGTTGAAATTTGGCCACAAATGTCTGATCAGTACCAAAGTCAAAGACAAGGAAAACCAGGATAGCTTCATTTGCCTAAAATCAGTTGCTGAATGTCATAAGTATCCAGGACCTGATATCTATTGCCACTTTTGAAGGAATCTCTAAAGAGATTGGAATTAAATCTTGCTGTTGATGCATTTAAAACTTGTACGTCTCGTTATTCTGTGCTTTTATGTTTAAAATTGTTTTTACAGTGATTTGCAGTGCATACTTTGCCAAAACCCTTGGAGAGTTTTAGTCTCAGTAAGCGTTTCTTTAAGTAAATGTTACAAGAAATGTAATGAAACAGTTTGGTACAAAACCTACATTAAAACACAGTTGGCTGTAATAACAGCTGAGGAGTAACAGGTTCAAGAATGCTGTCAGCTGCGTGGCCCTGAACTACTGTAATCTGGACACCCACTGGGTCCCATGTTTTACAAGCCTGAACGACAACTGTGGTTAGCTGTATGGTGAACGTATAATCCAACTTGTACCATAACTTGTAAATATTTAGAACCATGAAGCCACATGCTTCCATGTGGATGTGACTCTTATCTGTCCTATCCCATGACTCCTTCAGTTATCCTGTAATGTTGGAGTTAGACATGTACCGTTATTCAGAAGGTTAAATCTGCTAATTCCTTATGTAACTGTAGACAGCAGCTTTAACAAGAGAAGGAGCCAGCTGTTGTGACCAGTGCTCGAACGGGCAGGGAAAAGGGAGGAGAAACATGTGGAAATACTTGTTGAACCTAAAACCAACACACAGATGTTGAAACATTTGGCAGTTCCTTTTATGCTACATCAGCTTGATATACTGAGTAAAACTCAGGTGGGTGTTGGGCAGACGCTAATAAATGGTTTAAAGTGATATGCACAGCAGAACAAAAGGAAACAGCAAGATAGGAGAACAGAAACAAGACTGGGCAACAGACACATACTTTTATTAATGTCCATCAGAAATGTTATTTTTCAGTTTTAGCTCATTTTAAAATCAAACTTAAAAAGGGTTAAAACCCATCTTTTAGTCAGCTTTTGTGCTCAGAAAAAAGATAAACGGGATTAAACTACATTTTTAACCATGCTATTTTAAACAAACTCTCTAATAATGAACTGGATTTCTTTCAATTTTATATTTCAATGCAGCATGATGGCAAACTCAAAAATAATAAGGCAGAGTTGAATTCACCCAAACCTCAAATAAATTTAAACTCTACATGAACTATGAAATCCTTGACCCTGCTAATAAACTCTTTCTGTGATTACTCAGCAGAAGAACTGGTTGCCAAAAACACCCACCCACATGACAGATTCTGACCCCTGTGATACAAAAGGCTAAATCCAGTTTTTTTTTTGTTTTCCCCAAGTTCTGTGAAAACATCAGAGGCCACACGTTAAGCAAAACAGACACATTTAGAAGTAAACTTTACCTAGAAGCCTTACCTTAAACCTGACTTCTCGCAAGTCCTACATAGAAGTACACTTTAATTTACAAAGTGTCTTCTTCCAATAAAGCCTAAATCTAGAGAATGACATGCAATTGATTGTGTCTAAAGGGGAAAAAAAAGGGAACATTTGGGAACTTAGACAAACTATATACTCATAAAAGGTTTTTTTGGCTGTGGCAGTGGTGCAGGGGCAAAACAGGTGACCCACACACATGTTTGAGTCCCAGCCTGTTGATCTTTGCCACATGTCTTCCCTCAAAGTTAAATATTTTTATATATTTTTTATTTACTAGAACAACATAAAGGAGCATATACTTGAAAAGTGCAAGGAAGATAAAGCATGGTCTCCAAAATATTAAGCAACTTCTATAAAGTCCAGCACACACTTATAGTGATAGCTCTCCATGAAGGCCTCAGAGATTTGCAACAGAGAACATTAATGAAAACCAAGAAACGCCACAGACGAATAACATATACGAATTTGGGGAGGTTTATTCTGAGCATCACATGGAGCACCTCCAAAATGGAGTGAGCACAACTGCAAATCTACCAAGACACAGCTGTGCACCTAAACTGTAAAGGTGAG